TGTAGATAGTTTGGAGTGCTTAATTTGGGTGAATTGCTGTGTGCCCATTGATCTCTTATTTAATCATAAAATCTTCTCTCTCTTCCTTTCCTCCATAAAGGAATGACACACGAGTGATATGCATTGTGTTGGATTTGGTGACTGTTATGTTGGAGTGTGGCGTGAAGAGACTTGGGGACATTAAATCACTGAGAGTTCTCATGCAAGACGGACTCTGCCATCACTTACTTACTGTAAATGAGCAACTTTACGAAGTACGTATTTCAGTTTGTGTTAAATTGTATTTTGTTAGTTGCTTCAGAACGAATCTGTTGATGTTTTTGGTCGCTCTTTGACAAAGTGCTTTCTTCTTTTTGATTCAAATTGTCATCATCTCAAACTACAGCTGGAGGTAAAGAAAGAAACACATACATGTATGTGGATCATTAAATACTTCTCTCTCTCTCTCTCTCTCTCTCTCCCTCTCCCTCTCTCAGTGGTTCCTTAATAAGCTAATGCACACAATACAATTAGATCAGTCAAGACTTCAAGCAGGCAGACTAGAGCTAACATTAGAATGTCTCAATTCAAGTAAGAAAGAGTACATTTATGTACACGAGATTCGTGACAGTTTAATAAATTTTTGTCTCTCTTTTCTTTAGTTTTGTCACATTCATAATTTTGTATCAGAGTTATATGTTAATTATGATTGCAGTACCTACTGTACTAACGTGTGCGAGAGACTGAGCAAACTACTTGCTAAGGTATGTCAGTCATCAGCTGTTATTAAGCTTAGCCAATTACCCTGTACTATAGTACGGGGTATTTTGCTAAATATTATTACAGCAAGCATTCCCCAGCTCTTATCACACGATATCATCAACCAACATAATTAGCAATGGAAACACTACTGGCAATGATACTGGCATTAGAATCAACCAACACCACATGTGTACTAAGATTAATGGAGGGAAAGTTGCAGGTGACTGTAATAAAGGAGTAAGTGTGAATTCATCTGCTGGGATCATATTCTCATCAGATAAGCAGCAGCAACCAGATATCAGTCTGAATGGAGCAGAGAAGGTGGGTGGAGCTATATCAGAATGTAATATGGCGTTTTGGCCTTTCGTCACTTTATTTAACCATTTTTAAGGGTAATTTGAATCATAATTGATCTAATTTTACATTTTTTGTGTTCCATTTGTAGGTATCATCAAGGATCTCAAGTCCTTTTTTGTAGGCGGAGTTGACAAATTGTCATCAAATTTACATGAATGAACATTAAAGGTAAAGCACACATGATATTGAGATAATTTTACAAATATTTAATGGACTTGTATGTGCTTCACGTTCAGAAGAGGTCATCGTGGGGGGTGGAGTCATGCATCCCATCTAATATGGCAATTAAGCCTTTTGTCACTTCATTTAACCGTTTTTAAGAGTAATTTTGATCATTATTGATCTAATTTTACATTTTTGTGTTCCATTTGTAGGTACCGTCAAGGATCTCAAGTCCATTTTAGAGGGCGGAGTTGATGCCTTGTCTTCACATTTACATGAATGAACATTAAAGGTAAAGCACACATGA